GTAGTATATTGGCCCAATGTTTGTACTACACCCTAAAAAATGTCTCATCAATTTGTTAGTACATTGTAGTATGTTGGCCCGATGTTAGCACGAGTGTTCTTTTGTTTAGGTGTTTCAAAGATGGGATGTTTATATTGGGCCAACGCTGGCCCAAATATTATACTGCCAACTAAAGATGGTGTCAATTTTAGCTGCTGAGCTGACATTCTATGTCCATGCTTTTAATTGAATGACTGTTTTTGTTTAGATCTGATATATTCATTATTTTAAATTTTAACTTAAGTGATCACAGCACCAAAGAGTGTTTTATTATATTTTTTGAATTGTGCACATGCATGATTATTTATTTGAAATAAAACCCTTAAAATTATGATTTTTTTCATTTGTGTTGCATTCATGAGAATTTAGAGAAGACTGAATACGTTCTCAGGAACAGGATGTGAATGAAGCCTACATACACATAAATCAAAATGAGAGCTTTATAATTAAATTGAAACAAAAGTTAGGCGTTCTCTATCACGTGACCAAACTGTGGAGTGAGCTGTCAGATTCAATTGCTCACAAGTGGTGATACTGCGCAGGGCAAGCAAGAAGAAGTGAAATTTAAATATGTGGATTATACACTTGCTATACAGCTGCATTTAGAAGCGATGTAAGTATATTTATTCTTATTTATTCAGGTTAACTGTTAAAATTGATTCGGAATTCATTCTTGTCATGTTTTTGCACACAAGCACTGTAAGTTAAGGTTAAATAACATCTTTTAAGTTGTTTCTATCTATCTAATTCTTAACTGTCTATTACAGACACGATTGTAACAAAGAAATTCAGCCAGAGACTGCAAGAAAAACAAATGTTGTGGCGGTACATGTAAATAACAATGAAATCGAAGACAATGCATAAAAAAGTGTATAAAGTATGAGTCCGTATGACAAAGATCAAGATGAAGAAAACGGGAGGCGACGAAGGGACAGAAAAAGAGCGGGAATACAACAAAAGGACTATAATAAAGGAAGTGAGCCCTGATTAAGAACTTTTAATTGATAATTTTTCATAATTTACCTCTGTTGTCTATTTTAAAATTTATTGTGTAAATTATGATTGAATTGATGTATATAAAATATTATCACAGTGAATCATCAGTAATGTTTTCATTGAACATGTCCATGTATGCATTATGAATGCAGATTGAATTGTGTATTAATTATTTTAAACAGTCATAAAATAGGTTAATGTAAAGAATCACTTAACCAATTGCAAATGGTTCTATGTAATAACTACGTTGGCCCAACAATTTGCCATCTGACATTGTAAAAAAAGGGTCAACATTGGGCCAACCTAATCAAACAGTTGTTAAGGTTGGCTGTTAGTTGGCATACACTAAAAACTACATTGGCCCAACAATATGCCATCTGACATTTCAACATAGGGCCAACGTTGGGCCAACCTAACCAAACAGTTGTTAAGGTTGGCTGTTAGTTGGCATACACTAATAACTACATTGGCCCAACAATATGCCATCTGACATTTCAACATAGGGCCAACGTTGGGCCAACCTAACCAACCAATTATTAAGGTTGGCTGTTAGTTGTCATACAATTATACCTACGTTGGCCCAACAATATGCCAACATGTTGGACCAACGTTGGGCCGATGAGCAAAATTACCGTGGGCCAACGTAAGGTTACCAACAGTGGGCCAACGTTGGAAAAAAAATTGGGCCAACGTTGGCCCAACTATGTCTTGCTATCTGGGAAGAGATCCCACGCAAGCAATCAAAGCGGCCCTACAAGTTCAAAGTGGGTGATAAAGTGCGCATTTCGAAAATATCATCCATTTTTGACAGAGAATACGATCAAAAGTGGTCTGGTGAAATTTTCATCGTGTTTCGACGTTTCCTGAGGAACGGCATTCCAGTATACAAACTCAAGGACTACAATGACGAAGCCATTACGGGGACATTCTATCAACCGGAACTCCAAAAAGTGGACGTTAGAGACGAGGATACGTTTAAGATTGAAAAGATCCTCAAGACCCGTAGAAGAGGACCAAACAAGCAATACTTTGTAAAATGGCTGCATTGGCCAAAGAAGTTTAATTCTTGGATAAATGCTGATGATATGGCTGCATAATTTAATGCAATTATTATTGCTTGCCTTGAAATTATATGTATTCAGGCTTATGTCAAAAATATTGCTCTTCATGTCTAGCAATAAAATATGAACAAAAACAATGTGTTGTTTTGATCAACCCCCGACTGATCTTTACTCGTCAACACCTTACATTTGATATATATTTTTTATTTGCACTTGATGAGCCCGATAGACCCCTGGGCTGAACATTACTCGTCAAGACCTTCCATTTGATAGGTCACAATAAACCCTTTGAGTTACCTTTTGATTTTGCACTCGACGACCCCAGAACACCCCCGGGCTGAACTGTACTCGTCGAGACCTTCCATTTGATATGTCACACGTTATCCTTTGGGCAACTTTTTATTTTGCACTTGATGACCCCTGACCACCCCCGGGCTGAACTCTACGCGTTGAGACCTTCTATTTGATATGTCACACGATACCCTTTGGATGATTTTTGATTTTGCACTTAATGACCCCGGACCACCCCTTGGATGACCTCTCCTCGTCCAGACCTTTCATTTGATATGTCGCATGATACCCTTTGGGTAACCTTTTGATTTTGCACTTGATGACCCCGGAACACCCCCGGGATGACCTCTCCTCGTCAAGTCCTTCCATTTGATACATCAGACGATACCTTTTGAGTAGCTTTGATTTTGCACTTAATGACCCCGGACCACCCCCCGGGATGACTTCTTCTCGTCCAGACCTTTCCTTTGATAGGTCATGTGACCAAATATTCAAATGATGCCTTCTGATTGGTCGAAAGTTTGATGACGTCATTGGCGCGAAATTCAAACCGTGGTCTATATGAGCCCACTCCACTACTACTACTGAGTATGTTTGATTGATTTTAAGACACATAGCAAATTTGATAGCATCATTTTGGGGGTAGTTCACAGTGTTTCAAAAAAAAACATTTGATCATAAAAAAGTTTAATACTCACCCAATATTTTGAAAATTGAGTGGAAACGACAGCGTGTAGGACTATCTAATTAATTATTTTAAAAAAATATTTTAAAAATGTACTTATCATTGATTTTCTGAAATTCAAACAGATAATAAAACTTGAATCCATTTTGCTTTAATCCCTCAAAACAAATTTACAATGAGATACACTTGACAAAACAGCAAAGGCCCGAAAAGAGCAAAGAATAGCAAGAGCACAAAAATAGATTTATGTGCTATTTTCTTAAATATTAGTGGTCTTGTTGTTTAAATTCTTATTTGGAAAGTAATTTCAATATCTGGAAGATTCTAAAAAGCAAAATTATTGCAAAAGAAGTGAAAGGTTTATGAAAGGAATGAGTCAGAATGAGGAATCCACTACATTAAATTTCTTCATGACAGCGTCCAAACCCACTGGCCATGAAGAGTAAAGAGGTTCCGGGGATAAAAAGAAAGTTAATGTTTTGTCATACCAACAATATTGGCCAGCACTTTCAACCTTTGACTTGTTTCATTTCCCAAACTTGAAAAAACACCTTTCAGAAAGAAAAAAAAAACAAGTACAGGAAATCACAGGATCTGCCATATTCCAGTATACTAAGGGTCATACATGTAATCAAAAATGTGTTCTAAAACAATTAGAAATTGAATAAAAATGTTACAGACATGTGTTTTAATTAAAAGAGAATATTTTAAGTTAATCATTAAGACTAAATCATATAAAAGCGTTTTTTGTTTCTTTCCGAGCACCGATGACATCATTTATTGAACGTCCCTCGTACTGAAACAGTTGGAGTTGTTCCCTCTGTCAAATCATGCACTAAAAAAAATTAATTAATTAAATTCATTAAGAAGACTAGTAAATTAACTATCCATACAATCACTACCCTTAAAAGAAGATTTACTATATATTGGGAAAATTTACTTAAATGACCTTAGGTAATCTAATTTATAATTATCTATACGACCCCCGCTCCATGAGGCACCTTCTACTCACTATCTCTTAGCTATTAAACAGAATGATTACTAATCACGACGAACGCTTTAGGCACACTAGTTAAATAACTAATACATTTTAACTAGGTATTTCATACAAGTATGCCTACAAAACAAAGAAAAGTTATTTTCTAAATGCAATTATCTACTTTACATCATTTTGTTAATTTAATAGCAATTTTTACTTTGATAATTTAAAATACCATCACATATAAAATGAGGACTGCATTTAATTCTTTTCTTGTGCACATAAAACACTTTAACAAAAAATCGGCATCTTCCTCTATTTTACAAATGAAACATGATAATATTTTTTTTTTCTTAAAACCACGAATAGCACAAATATCAGAAAGGTTTTCTACAAATCATTTATTGTATGTTCTGATCAATATTTATTGAGGAAGCTTAAAGCAGGGTTATAGACTTTTTCATTGGTGTAAATTGTCAAAATAAAGGCCAAGTTCTAAATCAATACTTTACTTATACCACGGAGTGATATTATTGACATCTGTAAGTTAAAAGTATACCTTTACGGATTAAGCAATCTGCGTAAGATACCTCAAAAACGATCAAGAGTATAAATCAATGATTTCTAATGAATTTGTTTGCTTTTTTCATTGTCAAGATTTTGACAAAGAATAAAACACACACCAATAGTGCAAACAATCTTCAAATAGATTCCTTCGTGTAAGATACGAAAACTGCTTTTGGCAAAGTATTGGTTTCTTTAAAGAAAGACTTCCTGCTTGTAGATATATAAAAGAGCACATACGTTACAGATTCGACAATCGGAATGAGTCCATTTAGTCAGCATTTGATACAAATTTTTAAGAAGTACCATGTAGATAGGCACTAAAATTTGTTTTTTATTTAATGTATCTATTTTTAAAACACTTAATCTCACATCTTTGTTCGGGATGGGGATCAAGGATATCTTATGCATTAAAAAGGTAAAAAGTTGTAAATTAGTATATCATTTCAATTTTAAAAAATGTACTTCTTTTTTTCTAAAATCGAATTTTTCTTTACAAAAAGATTAGAATATACAGGAGTGAGAGGAAAAATGCTTGAAATTTATAATAACAAACAAATTCTTGAATTCACATAATAATCTGCTTTCACCAGAAAGAAGAGTTCAACAATATTCCCATTCAAAGGTTTGCAGCTTCGAAAAACGTTAAGGTAATTTAAAGATAATTTGACTTGTGTATCATGGATGAAAAATGTGTTTATCTGAAACTGCTTTTTATTCACAAAATTCACCAAAAGAAATGTAATAATTTTTCCTCCAGTATATCATTAAGTCTGAGAAAGTCATAGTTCCTGACATTCCAGGAGATAAATCGAAGCGATGGATGTACCTTCTACTTTCTCTGTTGTTTCTTTTGGTTTCTGCCTTAGTATCGACTACTGTGGTGTTACTCTTGAAACATGAAGGTATATTAGTTATACATGTACACTGTACTCTTTATACTTTAATGATTAGCTGCTTGAAAGTAATGCCTATCTAGAAAGATAATGCATGAACTGGCGTGAAAATAAAACATACACTATATTATAGTGTAAAATTGTAAACATATGTATTCATGTACAATCTTCGAGAAGAAGGGTAAATCATGTTTCTGCTTTATCTCGCTACCTATAGCGTTCATTCGTTTATGTAATTGGAACACTACAAATGCCTTAAAATGTATATTACCTTTACCATAATGATAACTTTAAATTGATGCTTTTTTTAAAATTAAGAACGACATGATTTGACGGATGGCACAACTGTTGCAGTAAAGACAGAAACAACTACAAGACCTGTTCCAATTTTTGCTAAGAATACAACTATTGGTTAGTTATATTTTGTATTGCAACTACAGTTGTGTGCCATAATTTAACAGCATTTTATTTTTTCTCTATAAATCTAATTGAAAACAGCATTTTGTAAAATCACTGGTATGACAACAATTCTTGACAGATTTTATTACAAATTTCTTAATAATCCAATTGTTGTGGTTTTTTCCTGATAGGCATGGAGTATTGTTTTTAAAATATTGTAATTTAAGTGCGACGTGAATTCTTAAGTCACATACTCACAATGAATTATATAGTCAACATTGATCTTGAATTTCAGAACTGATGGTAAGTGATGAACTATCTTTTACTAAAAAGTAAATATGTTATGATATATTAAAGAAAGATAACTAACATTTTCTGGTTTAAGTACTGAAATAAGTAATTAAATCGGACCAAAATTGACCACTTGCCAGTGATTTTACAAAATGGTGTTTACAATGAAATATATCACTGTGTATAGAGAAAAAATAAAATGCTATTAAATTATGGCACACAACTGTACCTGGATTTGAGATAAAGAGTATTGTAGTGTCCATAGAATAAAATTCCATATAAGTGTGAACAGATTTAAATACGCTTAAAAAAATGGGAAAAGTAAATAGTGGAATACATTGTATGGGATCATTATAGTCTCTCTGGCTTTGATAATAAGATGTGTTCAATTGATAATATGGGTACTTCGAATTTACTATTGAAATATTTTTATGAAGATATTCATAACACCTATTTTATTGTAAATTATTTAATTTTGTTATCCACGAGAATATAATATCGAGAAGGTCTGTCTGAGAATACTGTAGATTCCTTATTTTTCGCGAGTACTTTTAATCGCTAACTGGGTCTTTCACGTCAAATCGCGAGAATTATAATTCGCGAATGGACGGTTGATCAACAGAATTTACATAGATTTCAGCACCATAAAAATAAAAGCGAGTAATATTTTTTCGCGAGTGACGCTTCTCGTGAAATTACGCGGAAATTAATTCCTCGCGTATAATTAGGAATCTACAGTATTTCATTCTCGCAAGTTTCCTTATGCAAATATAAAGAATATACAAAGGATGACTGCACTTAACGCCGGTTTTTGGGTCTTTTTCAATCTCTGTTGTCACATTTATTTTTGTTTTTATTTTTGCCTTAAGTCATTTGTTATAGAGTTTGGTCTATTTCCAAATGAAAGGCAATGTCATAAAGCTTATAAACTGCGTTGCAATAAAATAATTTGTTGTTTTCTTACCCAACCTCTCTGCAAATATCGGGAAATTAGACTTATCTGTCCATGATTGGAGATAAGATTTATAAATATGCATAAGAGGCGGAGCTAATATTGTGAAGAGTGGTCTAAAATTAGAATAGTTACTTTATTTATATTTGGTGCATTCCTCCCCCCTCTCTCTCCCTCTCTCGGCATATGTTTGTCACTATTATTTTTTAAGTTTTCAAATAAAGTATATAACTAATAACAAATGATATCGACCGGTAGAAGTAGCCATTGATAATCAACAGCAATGGCCGATGTCAACAATTCGCGTGTTCGAATATAAGTGCCGACTAGCTCAGTCGGTAATGCACAGAATCAATAATATTGAGGTCTGGGAACTGGGATCGAGACCCGCTAACAACATTAAGACTTGCTTTATTTTTCCCTTTTTATAAAAAAAAACAAAGAAAAACGTCACAATTACTTAAGTTTTTCTTAATTTCTTTTCCCCATAAATTAGTGTGCTTAGGATGGTATGATTTCATTTTTATTTACTGGATCTTACTTTGGATGTTCATGATATCGGGAATAATATATAAATATAGTAAAATTAAACGCTTTTGAGATAAATATAAGAATAATCTTATAGATATCTAAGAGAAAAAAGAATAACCCTTGGCTCAATGGGAATGGATTGAAACAGATATGGACAATCACTATCGCCCAGCAGAATGCGTGTTTCCTTACACGTCACGTGATGGAATTTTAGTATTCGCAGAGTTACCTGGGTATAGAAATCACGTGGTTAATTATAATATTCAACAGGTAACAACGTGGTCAAAATGGCCTGTTTACTATAGAGAAAGTGAACACACGAAGAAACAGTTTTTTCTCTTTTTAACCATGAGCGCATGTTTGTCTATTGATCTCCTTTTAATATGAGGTAATATATATAAATATACAACTACCATAAAAAGGAGAACAATAGACAAACATGCGCTGACTATGTATTAAGCCTGTAAAAAGGTGGGCGTACTCATTATCCTATGGAGATTCCAGAATATGCGATGACCCCTCCCAATAAAAACAATTTCGAACTTTGTTAATACGAACTTTTAATTAACGTAATTACACAAAGTTGCAGTTTAGACATTGGCCATCTCTACCATTAAAAGAAATATGCCCTTTTTTAAAATTAATTATGTCGCAATTTCTAAGTTTCCTTAAGTGCAGTCATCCTTTATAAGATAATTCATGTCCAAATTCTTCGAAATAAAATACTAAATTTCTATTTTGATTTTGAATGAATTTGAATTGGCCTTATGAAATTTCGATCAATGTTTCTACAGTATTGTGTAAATTTATCCCTGTAAAAAGAAATAGTTTAGTTCCTACATCCAATGCATTGATGTAATAATTAAATAACTTCTTGTTTTCAAAACGACTAAAAACAATAATTATTTAAAATTTGTATTTTTGTAGGGAGCCGTGGAAAAGCTTTTATAGTGTTGTTCATGACAAATATTAAGACCACCACAAAGTCAGTGTACGTCACATCGGATAATGGTACTGATTTGAATATAACAACGTCACCGGGTCTTAATCCATTACTTAAATCACAGATAGACAGGCTAACCAATATTTGGTCCAATCAGCATATTGCAATACCGAGCTCCATGGAACTAGAGAGTTTCAAGAAGGAGACAAAAGCAATTTTTTTCGAGACATCTCATGATGTCTTCGTAATAAGTCATGACAGGGCATATGGCACAACGGGAAGTACTACCCACATTCCTTTAAATCAACTTTCTACCAAGTATATAGTGATATCATCGCCGCCTGAAACAAAAAGTCAGTTTGCGGTGGCCGCTATCACGGACAACACAACAATTACAATTACGTTTAATATGGAAACCAACAATCCTCTTCAAATTGAAAGCGAGAGTTTTAAAATCGGGGATACTTTTAATTTAACACTTGAAAGTTTCGAAACATACCAAATTGCCCATAATACAGATCTGACTGGAACTTTAATTGAATCTTCAGCTCCTATAGCAGCCTTCTCCGGTAATGATTGCAATAGTCTAGGTAATATCGGTGCCTGTGATCATCTTATAGAGCAGTTGCCACCAATAGAGAGTGTTGATGACACTTATATTGTGCCTCCTTATTCAGATGACAGAGACGCAAAGATTCGCATAACAGCCACGCAAAATACAAATATCACATTTATAATTGGAGGAGTAAGCCAAACACTGACATTAGATGCTGCAAAATCTTTTGACACGTCTATTACAAACACCCAAACCTGTTTCATTCATTCAGAAAATCCAGTCTTAGTAACGAGCTTTGGATTGCATTCTAAAAGTTCTGAAATGGGAGATCCCTCCATGACGATAGTACCTGGGATAAACCAGTACCTTGACTATTATAAAATCGTCGTCCCACAGGGATATGTTAGCAATTTTGTGTCTATTATGATTGATGCTTCATTTCGAGGATCTGTTCAGATAAACGGTTTACCAATACAAGAAAGTGCGATAATATTTGAAGAGAATATTTCAGCAGGAAATGACACATACAATGTTAGGTCAATAACAGTAGCTGAGGGTGAAGTTACGGTGTCTACCAGTAATGGAAAGGGATTTGGACTGATGTTTTCTGGAACAAAATATTACGAGGCCTATGGTTTTTCTGGAAACTCTTTACTTCTGTATCCCAATAAATTAGAATAACTCGTATAACGTCTAAAATATTTAATTAAAGCATAAGTTTCAAAATTCGGTCATGGTGACCTACTTTACAGTTGACTTTCTCCGAAGAACCGAGATGCATCAACAGATACGGTTTTACGTGTCAATAAGTGTACATGTGTATCTGAAATATTACATAAAAGTCATATATTTTCAAAGCTTGGTCACAATTACATAATTATACTTTCTTGTCAGTCGACGTATTCTGAGGACCCAAGATCGATGCATTAGCTGACAATGTTTGATAATTCTTAGCCAATATGTACATGAAATACTTTTATAATTTCAGCAGAGACCTATATATACCTAGTTAGTATAAAGGTCCCTGATTTCAGCCATAAAAATCAAAAAGTAGATCACGGTGACCTACCTTCCAGTTAATGCACTCCTAGGACCAAAAAGCTTGTGGAGATAACGAACAATATTCAATCTCAAAGTCCATAAAACAATACAAAATAGGAGCAGAGCAAACACGGATCGACCTCCGAAAATCAGAGATGGTATCAGGTGCCATGGAGGAGTGAGCATCCCCTGCTGACCGGTCACATACGCCGTGTGCTCCTAGCTTGTCATGATCAGGATTAAACGGAAAAATCCGTCAATTCAGTGTATAAATAATGGAAAAACAATTGGTATGAAAAACGTCAGTCAGCATTTGACTCAATGATAAATTGTATTTGCTGACAAGGTCATTATATCGACCATAGAACTTACGAAATGATGACTTTAAACGAGACTGCTGATATCCTTGTTTCATCAACTTGCTTGTTAATAATTTACCTCGTTTTAGAAATTGTTCATACGTAGTGCATGCTCTTGCGTAACGAATCAACTGAGATATATAAATTCTGTATGCAGGTGATCATGAAGGTATACTGTAGCTGCAATAATGTAGCCCTCTCCGATTTTTTTTTTTTTTTTTTTAAGGAGAGGGCTACAACTCCTTAGGATCTCCGTAATGGTGCAAATGCGGCAGTGAATCGCTTCCGCACGGATTTCGGCTCAAATCATCAGTAAACGGCTATTTAATTAACATCTCTCACCTGGACTCCAAAAAAGTAATTATGCAAGACATAAATCAATCCAAAAATATTCACAACGACCCATAAATCGGTTATTTTTCGTGTATGTCAACATCACAACTTGAATTCATCCATCCGCCATGTTTACTGACCTTGATAGATTTTATTTTGGGACAGCCAATGAGTATTTAGAATCTATAGGAGCGGTGTAAAGACGAATAATGACCCCCATCGAATAATGACCGGGGGTCATTTTTCGACGTAGAAAAATGACCCCCGGTCATTATTCGACGTAGAAAAATGACCCTTTTGCCCGTAGAAAAAGTGTCACCACCCTAAAAATTTGCAGAACCCACGTGAAGAAAAATGACCCCCGTAGAAAAATGACTCCCTGTGGATTAAAGCTGAAATTTTTAGGGGGCAAAAAAAATTGATAAAGAAGCATATTGGCCAAAATGCTAACCTGAGCTTATTTGGAATAAATTGATGATATGTTGATCTTATAACATACGATTATAGCTATATTTTAAGGTCAATGTGATGATTCAGAATCTAAAGGAGTAAAGATTTATCGAGCCTAAAGGGTTAGGTAAACATTGTTTTTCGATGGTGGAAATCATCGTACTGACAGAAAAAATCAGCAGTATCACAAATTATTATATCCTCCGCGTGAAAAGCGGGATGGTATATAGTGATCGGGACGTCCGTCCGTCTGTTACGCTTTGGGGTATCCCATCTGTTATCCGCAACTCCTCTTCTATATAAAAAGATGAATTTGTGAAATAGCTATGCCCCTGTATGGCAACATGGCGAAGATTAAACTTTTCTTAAATGCAATTTAAATATAATATGGTACCCAAAGTAGGGTCTTCTCACAAGAAATACAATTGCAAAATAGGAAAGCCCTTGCACCACTAGTTCAAAATTAATGGCTAAGGATAAGTGTTTGAAAGGTAGGTCAAACTCAAAGGTCAAAGTTGATGGTTTCTTAAGAAAGGTTTAATGTACCAAGGATTGCATTTGTGAAGTATGAGAGTACTAGTATCTACAGTTAAAAAGTTATAGCCAATGTAAATTAAAAATTTGGCATTTTTTTGTAAAATGGGACAGACTCCAAGGTAAAGGTCAAAAGGTCAAATTTGGTGGTACCCAAAGTAAGGTCTTGTCACAAGGAAAATACACATATTGAATATGAAAGGCATAGCTATAATAAATGGAATTTTAAAGTTATGGTCAAGGTTAAAGTTTTTGCGGAGAAACAGACCGTCAGATAGACAGACAGACATACAGACGGACACGGTAAAACAATATACCCCCGAATCTTCGATTACAGGGACATAAAAAGAAATGGTCTTCAATTAACTTTTCATATTATGATACAGTATAAAGAAGACGTTACAAAAATGAAAATGTTTGTTCTGATTTTCATATTAAATTCTCTGAAAAATATACCCAGAACTGGGTAAAAGGGTGGAGTAGAACAAGAATTAAGAAATGTAATAAATACTGTGTGCTAAATCAGAAGGTTGTGTCTACATGTATAGTTTTTAGCTCACCTGAGCTGAAAGCTCAAGTGAGCTTTTCTGATCACATTTTTCCGGCGTCCGTCTGTCTGTCTGTAAACTTTTCACATTTTCGACTTCTTCTCAAGAAACACTGGGCCAATTTCAACCAAACTTGCCACAAAGCATTCTTGAGTGAAGGGGATTCAGGTTTGTTCAAATGAAGGGCCACGCCCTCATTCAAGGGGAGATAATTGGGAATAACTGAAAATTTGGTGGCATATTTTAAAAATCTTCTTCTCAAGAACCACTGTGCCAGGAAAGATGAAACTTATGGAGAAACATCCTCAGGTAGTGTAGATTCAAGTTTGTTCAAATCATGACCCCCGGGGTAGGGCGGGGCCAAAATGGTCGACCAAAGTTTTACATAGAAATATCTAGGAAAATTCTTTAAAAATCTTCTTCTCAAGAATAACCAAGCCATAATTCATCATATTTATATGGAAGCATGCTCAGGTAGTGTAGTTTGAAGTTTGTTCAAATCATGACCCCCCCCCCCCCCCCCCCCGGGGGTAGGGCGGGGCCAAAATGGCCGACCAAAGTTTTACATAGAAATATATAGGAAAAATCTTTAAAAATAATTTTCTAAAAACATAGCAAATCCATGATTGGTCATGGGACTTCTTTAGTATTTAAACTTTACAATGAAAACCATTTTCTACTTTTTCCTAGCCTTAGTGCTCAGGTGAGCGATGTGGCATATGGGCCTCTTGTTGCATTAGTGTGTGTATTTTACACTAGCCCATAGCTTTACAGAGCATGTTTTAGGTGTTATAAATACCCACCCACGCCCTTGCGTATGTAGGAGGAAGTCGATTATCAACAAAAGAAACCTACCCTACCTTTATTTTTCTATAAGGAGGGACTAAAAATAAGCTTAAAATAATCTACTATTCTACTAATTTTCAACTGTTACTTTGCCACAATACTTTCAAGTATACCAATATCAATATTTAAAGTATGCTTTAATCATGGCGAAGTAAATTATGATATGATTGAACTTGTGTGAAGGTTTAACTTCATTTCAATATTTCATCTAGAGCCTCTTTCAGTATTATTGAAAGGTATAGAGTTTTATTTATATTTTTGCTTTTCATTTATATTTATTTAATTTTTTTGTAATTTTTTCTTTAGGGGGGGGGGGTAAAAATTTCCTCCTCTTTCATTGTCAGAAAGGATTTGCCAAACTTATACGAGCTAAAAGTTGAAATGAAGGAAAACTTAATTTTTATATTAAAGAGTATTGGAACCTGATTGTTGCATGGTTTGATTTCTAAAAACAAATGGAATATCATTCTTTAAGCAAACACTATAAAGAGGAAATTTTATTACTTTGACTATTAAAGAATCTCTTTTCACTTTAAAGGGGGTCATTTTTCAATGGGGGTCAATTTTTTATAGGACTAACATATAAAATAATGACCCCTATGACACTTTTTCTACAAAAAATGATTTTTTTTCTACGGGTAGGGGGTCATTTTTTGTCGTTGAAAAATGACCCCCGGTCATTATTCGATGGGGGTCATTATTCGTCTTTACAGGGGATCTTTTAGGAATTCCCTTATCTTCAGCATACATATCGGTGTTTGCGTAAAAATAACACTTGAAATGGTTTTATATATCGATATTTTTGTGATATATTTCAGCACAGTCGTTTATAAACATCGACATTTGCTTTTTTTAGTTGTTCTAAATTTCCAGCGAAAGTCTCAGTACGTCACGCGTGAACTGTCAAGGCTGCTGCTGGTAAACATGCAGATGTATTTTACATGGTTTTCGAGTTTCGCGGGCTATTTTGTTGACAGTGAATAAAAATTCCGTCTTATAAGAAGTAAGTTGAATGTAAAATAATTTATTTTGCCTTCAATCGCCCGTGTTTAAAAAAAAATATATTTGCACCATTACGGAGTTGCGATGGAATTGTAGCCCTCTCCAGAAAACATCAGATAAAAAAAATCGGTGAGGGCTACATTGTTGCAGCTAGAATATTGCTGCATAAGAAGGGAAACTGACGATAGGAAAGTTAAAGTCATCATGTTTATCATATATCTTGTTTGTTAGATTACCTTTAACGTCTTTTTCAAGTAAAATATCCAAGTATGAAACAGATGTGTCAGACTCTGTCGTTTCTTTTTATCTCAAGCTCGCCAGGATATATCGTGTCGACGTAGGAATGGAAATTAATATTGTTAATTGACAATACATCGTCGATATATCTAAAT